ACTGGAGACGAATTACCTATGAAATAGGGGGTGTATGGGGGATACCTTCTCTGTCCCCTTTATCCTCTCTTGGGAGATAACTATTTTAAGAGTCCGGTTGCTTTTTTGATTTTTTTTTCTAAAACAACACACTGTTCCTTTTAACACACCCGAATGTCGGTATCCAGTGAAGCAAAGCGAAGCAATTTATTGGTGGACTGAATGTTCAATTTTTACATTTAGAGAAACGGCGGGAAGATAGTGCGCAGCGGCAAGCCTTGTGGTGTAAGGCGTGAACGCCTTGTTTTACTTGCGCATGTCTTAGGATTAGAGAAGGTAGGACAGGATTACGTCAACAGAGTGTGCTTCTCTTAGTGAAAAATCAATGAGGCGAACGACGGGAAAAAAACACTCACTTGCTTTCTTACTAGCTTGTTGCATGGCTTTAGCCGCGTTTACACTAGGGGCGAAATTTTTTCCGGCTACATAAATGTTTCCAGATTTATTCCATTGAGGGTATATATTCGAACAAATTTTCGCAGGCGTTCATACTAAAAACACATTCGGATTCCCAAAAGTTTACACACATCGATAAACCTAAGGGGCTTTGGCAACGAGGACGACGGTGGCAACGAGACTGTCAAAACAGCTGTAATAGCTAGGTTTAATAAGTAAAACAACAAATTTGCCACTTATAGCATTCTTTTTTGGTACATTTTTTTGCTGTCCCTGCATGTTATCGGTCACGTTGCGATTCTTATCCCCAGTTTCCACGAGTCCATGACTCCCCTTTTGTGGAGTAAATACGAAGAAAAGAAAACGGCTTGCAGATTGACTCTCGCTGCTACGCAAGCTCGAGTAAGTACTTTTTGCAGTCGAAATTAATTTCCAAAAGTATTTGTCGATCGCCAAAACGACCAAAAAACCAGTAAAAACAATGCCGACCAAGTTTCCTCCTTGATGATGATGTCATTACATTGCGGAAACCAAGCGATATATACATAGAAATATCAGGCCGCCCAAGTTTGCAGGTCGCTATGTACCACCCGTGACAAAGTCATAAATCTTCACCACGCGAGGGCCTTACGGCAATCACCTGGCAAGGAATAAATACATTGAAATACATTTTGAAAGTTCACTAAATCTGCACTTTTATTTTTCTGTTTTGTTTTCCGCGACATTTATTCTATTCGACTGATTTAAATTCGACGTCTAAAACCAAGTCGTGCTGAAGTAGAGCCAGCTTAGAACGGCAGTAGCACGACGTTTGAAACAGGCCTCACTGATCGGTTTTTTTTTTGCAACAAACACCAGCATTTTTTTTGGTTTTGCAATCTATCTGATGGTATCTTTCAACGCATATAAAACAGTGTGCAGAAACTGATTTGCTGGGTTGTTGTTTAGTGAACTTGCTATATTTATCACTCCAATTGCTGTCCACTGCAGTGAATACAGACCATTTTCCCCTTTCCAAATCAATTCAAATCTTCGGGGTTGTTTTGTATTGAAACCCAATGCCTCGTTAATTAGTTTTAGCCTCACTATTAATCTGTGATGTAGCTTAAGAAAACAGCAGACTTCTTGCGACGCCACCGCTGGTTTCCCGGCAAATGACGTCTGAGAAATGGGCGCAGATGAAATTCCATACCGATAACGCGTCACTATACAGAACTGGGTAATGCTTCTGATTGGTTGAGGAAATTTTCCTTTACAGAACAACCGAGATCTGTCTAGATCTGTGTAGTGACATGTCATTAGTATGAAATTTTTGCGCCTCAGACGTCAGTGGTATACCTTCAGCAAAGATAAGCAACGTTTTGCACTCCTTTGTGTTCCCTTCGCGTTCCCTCATAAAAACTAATATCCATTTATTTATATTCAGGTGACCTTTTTTTTGCCTTGGGCCAATCAGATATTTTTTCGAGCACAACTCTGCCAATTATTCAGAAGTTTCGATGAGGATTGAGAACTCAAGGACTGTTGTTGTTGTTGATTTCTTTGGACGATCGGCTTTGTAATTTTTGTCTTTTTTCTCGCTGTTTTTTACTGTTCTGCAATAGACTGTTCCTCACCACTTGAATTTAAGTCGTTCTTTCGGTGTTGCATTTTGCTTTGCCACCATTTCTCGGATGTGAAATGCGACATGCGAATTTTAACTTCATTTAGTACGAACTGGCCCCATGTAAAGAAGTCAGAATCCGAGAAATTTTTGCTTGTGAAATATGGAATCCTGGGTCTTGGAATCCGGAACAAAGCTCAAGGAATTCGGAATTCTACTAACGACTGGAGTCCAGAATCCAAGCTCTACTGACAAATACTGGAATCTAGTACCTGTGGCCCGGAATCCACTGCGTGGAATCAAGAATCCAAGACTAACTGCCCTGGATTCCTTTACATGGGGCGAACGAACAAAACACTACAATATGGCGGTTGTTCCTGCTGGCAAGTCAGATGATGGTCATGAAGCCCGTCAGACCCAGGCCTCTGTTTATTCTGCTCTGGAATGAAAGGTGCATTATCATTTTCATTTTGATCCATCTCACTGACAATAAAAACAATCAAAACGTCGCATTAGTTTATTCCGTCACAATTTGTGAATTAAAAAAAGAAAGGTATTGTGCACGGTCAGGGAGCTCCCAAAATAATGTCGTTTTTGATTCTCCTTTCATGACTAGTTTCCTCTAATGACAAAGTCACATGTTCTTAGGATTATTGCGAGTAAATTTTGGGGTTGCTCTGCGACAACCAGTGGGCCTATGGATTTGTTGAATTATTATGGTGTTGTCAGTAAACGCCCACTTGGTTTCGAGTTTGGGGGTCCTTTCTTCTTTTGTTTTCTTTTGTTTTTTTTCTCTGTTTATGTTTTGGTTAGAGAAAAACGAAATAAAACAGTGGACTCCAACCCCAACCACTGGTGGACGTCTGATTGGCACCTTGGTTTCACTTACCACTTACACTTTGAATTTTTTTTTTGTTTGTTGCATTATTTAAACAGTAACTTTTATTAGCTGCAACAATTATCATGACAGTAGATATTATTTTCAAGCAATAAACAATCGTTTTGGCTTCTGACTCTTTCAGTTTATTAAGTTGGGTAATTTTTAACTCAACGTTTCCCTACAATTTACAGTTAGCAATACTTGCTCGTATTAGGGGCGACAAAACTAAAAATGACTTTAAAAACACTCTTGGAAATCGATGGCTAGACATCTAGTTTTAATCAGGCGTAATCAGCAAACAGGGGCACCCAACGAGAATATAGTTCAAAACCACTTAAACATAGCATTGTTAAACGTGTTTTAGTCTTTAAACGGAGGATATGGGCATATTTTTATCCCCTATAAATTTTTCATCTGTTCGGATTTCCTAGCTGAAAGTCTAGTGATCCGAAAATTATAGGGATCAAAACTTACCCGTTCAAAAATTTCAGCCAGAAAAAAGGCTCCCGAAAATTCTAGGTGACCTTTTTAGGGTAAAAGTCCGTTGAAAATGGGCAATTTTACCATTTTTTAGATGTTCGAAAATCCCAGGAGAGGCAGGCAAGCAAGAAATTTTACAACAAATGTTCCGAAAATTCTAGATCTCAAATGGTCTTCCGAACAGATATTTTCCCGAAAATTGTCGTTGGGTGCCCCTGAGCAAACCTTTGTCATTTCCAAAGCTGGCAGATATTTCTTTACGCTCTGTCAACCCACTCCAAGCGCTACTTGTATGTATGAAAGTGTTGGCTTTTCGCCCTCAAAATTCGAGCTAAAAACAACATATCCCATTATTTATAATTACACCACTATCACTAAGCGAGACAGCAAGTACCTCCTTGTCGATTCATAATGGAGTTCTACCAGGGCTTCCAAAAACATGCACCATGATAATACCTGCATTACATACCTAATTATTTACATTGAAATTCACGTAGAAATTATGCAGTCATGCTCTAATGTTTGTGAGCTCTAGCGTCAGTTTTGTTGTGCATGCATAATATTCCACGATTCACAAGTTCAGGGGCACCCAACGGGAAATTTTGAAAAAAGACCTAAAAACAACAACAAAGCGTGAATAAAGCTTTCTGAGACTATTTTAAGCATTTTGGGAGACTGCTGGAAAAAAATTATCTGTTCCTCACTCCCAGCAAGACTGATGGAAGAGTTCCCAGCCAGCAACCTTACAACCTGCAACCTGACTTACTGGGAAGTTTCATAGGGCACAATTCAGATCTTGAGTGGTAAGTAACCCATACAAGTAACCCGTAGCAGCTATTGTAGACTTCAAATCCCCTCTGACACCCTGAATTATCTTTTTCCCAGCAACACTTTCCTTTCAAGGACTATTATTTCTTCCACATCCCCCAGCCAGCAAAAATGTGCCTGAAGAACAGATATTTTGAGGAACAGATCCACTGGGTGCCCCTCCAAGTTATCAAACTTTGTCGACTCCATATGACTCCAGCACCTAGGCCGATGAAATAATATTTCTCAATGGACCACGACACTACTGAACTGCAGTTATTGATAAGAAGATAACTGGGTATAGGTTTTAGCATTACCATTTGTCAAAGAAAAAATGACCGCGGAATATAAAGCTATTCAAACCCGAAATCCCGTCCAAAATTTTGTATCTCGTTTCCTTCTTCCAAACAACATCCCGAATCCCGACCCGCGACAAGAATTATAGCATTCCGAAAAAAGAAAGCTTTTCATTGGTTGGTTTCAGCTATTTGTTTCAAGCCTTGTTTATTTACACTGGATTTTGCACACAGTCGCGATCGAGAAGTCACAGAGAAACTCGTTAAAGAAATAGATTGATGTTATGGTAAGCAAAGTAACTAAACAGAAAGTTAATTCGTTTTTTAAAATTGAAACTAGCCAGGGAAAATTCAAAACCAATCTTAATTTTCTTTGTTGACCGGTATGTAATCCTCTTTGCTAACAATATCTCAGGTCATGCCTTTGGCAGTGGAGTTTGCGACATTGTTTCGACAGCAAAAAATCTGTGCCCGTCTCAGTCGAATTTCAGTACATTGTATGGGCATTCATGATCACAGGCTGACAACAGACGCTGTGGAAAAAAGTTCAGGGTATTTTAAGGTAAGAGGGAGTACTAGTTAAGGTAATAGCCTATAAAGGTTTGTTTTTGCCCGGGCCTTAAAAGACTTTGTCAATAACTTTTTCTGCATAAAAAAGCAAAAAGTAGTAAAATCATTCAATCATGGCATCTGAATAGCACTTTGATGTATTGCTTTATTCATACTTGAAACTAGGTTTATCGATAACTTACACTGGGGAATAGTACAAACGACCTTTATGATGTACCACTTACTATATAGTCTTATAATAAATTAAGTAACATTACGTAACTTGAACTTTGCCGGTTAAATTTCCAGCTGGAAGAAAAAGAAACTGTCAAAAAAATGAAGTATAGAAGTGTAAATTGCGTGCTTGACGTAGCACACCGATCTGGACTGGTTTACCTTTTTCTTGGATGTTAAATGAACCTATCCTAGACCTAAATTCCACCAAAAAATTTCAAACGGTCATAAAATCGTGGACCGTAAAATGGAAATTCATTCTCTCGGTCCTTTGTCGATGATACAAGGGAACAAGTAATCCATGACGTACCTGATCTACTGTCTAAATACCAGGAGGGGGGTGGGGGGGGGGTACTCCCCATAATTGCCTATAAGTAGGGGCTTCACCAGAAAGCTAAGCGGTACCTTTTTCATTCTTCAGGTATATCAAAGGGTAGGGATTTTAATGGTTGAGGTATATGAAAGGTAGGCAAATCTGTCCTTTCGGTCTGTAATTAATTATAAAATGACCAAAAACTGCCACAGAAGGATTTTATGGCTCTGAAAAAGTCGAGAAAACGTCCTTGTTTTGTGATTTATTCATATTTTAAAGACAGTGCATTTGTGCTGTTAAAAGAGATGGAAAATGTAAACTAGGCATGTGAAAAGGGTATCACCTATGAATAGAAGGTATGTAAAAGTGTCACATTTTCTATCAAAAAAGTTATATAGGAGGGAGAGGAGTTGTACCTCGGGGCGCCGCCTCCCCTTATAAGACATTTTTAAAATACCCCCGCCCCCCTGGGTCTAAATACCGCGTCTCTAATAGCCTACTTTGGTATACTTAAAGATAAGAGGACTTATAAAGGTAATCTAAGGTGGACCATGTGTGCGACAGGTGACAATTTCCAATCCCGCTGTTTCAAAGGACGCAATCATCCAGTATTTACATATTAATTTGTGCTGATCGATACAAACAGCCAAGTCTGTAACTAAGGTTCGAATAAAATTCCCCTTATCTGTTTAAAGCATAGGGGAGCCGGATTATTACCACCCAATCAGAAGAATCGAAGCAGTATAGAACAGAGATTTAAAGGCTACCTTGTTTAAGTAAATAAATGGATTATTGAGTGCTTACTAAATCCCATTGCTTGTTCTCTGACCCGTGGAATTTGACCTGTATTAGATGTGGAGCGAAAATAGGGTGCAAATGTATGTAGCTTAGTAGCCACACACCCCTTCGGCCAATTTAAGTTTTGTTTAAAATAGTTTGGGTCAATCATATTGCTAGAAATCAGCAAAACTGTTAACGTGGAACTGCCTGAGCGAGAATCCAGAAAAAAATACACATGGAACGTCATGGTTTCTGCATCGAGAAAAAAAAAGTTTTTTATTTGTATTCCTTGCTGTATCCTTTATCATAGACGACTTTAATCCATTATAGCTTAATTCGTCCCTGCCAATTTTTCGGTTTGTAAAATCAAAACCCAAAATATTGTGTTAGTTTCCTTTATGTTAAGAGTCTAACGCCTATTCTTTTTTTTTTTCCTTAGGTACCATACAGGAATAGTTACAAGCTGGAAGACTGTGATAACCGAAGAAAATGGGTTGAACAGGTCACCAGAAAATCTTTATCAAATGTTGGTCAGTGGCTGGATCCACAGGGTACCCATGGGAGTCATTCCACTGAACGTTTGGCGGGAAATATAGAAAACCTCATTGGATTAGCTAAAATTCCTTTGGGTGTTATTGGCCCGCTTCTCATTAAGGGTGATCGTGTAAATAAACATATTCTATGCCCTTTTACAACTACAGAAGGTACACTTGTTGCATCTTCCACCAGAGGAGCTACAGCAATGACCAGGTAATTTTAACCGTATAATTATAAAGCAAAGCTCTCGCTCAGCAGAACAGCAGGGTAAGAAATAAAAATTGGTTATCAACATGATTGCATGCAATAAATTTTGGTTCTGACAAAATCGTCCGTTTGTACGTTCGCCCCTCATGTTAGCGGATGTGAAATGTCTTGTAGGGCGGCCATTTTCTTCAGCTCAAATTTGCAAAAAATTGAAATGATTACAATTTTGACAAAAAGTGATCAAATATCTATTAAATAAATTTACTTTTCAGGGGGGTAGGAGTTTCCTCCTGAAAGTTGAAAGTTTACACCTATTTCTATCGCGACCTAGTGCAATGATCTACAATGTCGATTATTTTTGAATAATTATGTACCAGTTGAGTGTTGGTATTGGACACAGTTTGAGCATGTTATGGGAACTTTGAGTAAAACGGGTGTATAATTCCGTTATTCTAGGTGCGGAGGAGTCAGTGCACGAGTGATTCAGCAACGAATCATGAGAACACCGCATTTTGTTAAGGACTCCATCCATCAGGCACAGACGTTGTCATCCTGGTTAATTTCCCACTTTGAAGAACTTAAGTTAAGAGCCAGTGAAGTTAGCCAACATTGCAAACTTCAAGCGCTGGAACCTTGGTTTGTTGGTCCGTTTCTTCTCTCTTTTTTTTTGTTTGATACTAGACTCTTAACCGCTCAAAAAATTGAGAAAAGCTATAACCTCAATGAATGTACAAGTTAAAGAAAGTAAAAATGCTTGATAAACTCCTTTATTTGCCTGTGATCCCTTCTTCCCTCCCTTTTTCCTCTTATTACTTTCTAGGTCGCAATCTGCTGATGGAATTCGTTTACGATTCTGCTGATGCCACTGGACAAAATGGTGTAACTGTAACCACCTGGCACGCATGTCAGTGGGCTCTGAAACAGATCGCCAAGGAGCAACCGGATATCAACAAAAGGGAGTTTTACATTGAATCTAAGTGTAGTGGCGATAAAGGTGCACTAGCAAAGAATTACATTAAAGGTCGTGGAATTGAAGTTCAAGCCGAAGCTTATATTACAGTATCTGTCCTGCAAAATGTCTTAAAGGTACCTTGCACAATGTAACATCCTTGCTTTATTGTAAGTTTCCTTTTTTTGCAATCCCTGATCGAGGACACGATCAGTTGTTACAGTTTTCTTTTTCTTTTTGTCGTAGTTTATGTATTTGATAAATATTCTTCAAACTAGCATTCGAAATCCCTCGAATCCTTTTTTACCCGTTCTTGACATAAATATTAGTCAGCAATTCGGGTATTGGCTTCACAAAGTTTTCTAATCTTCCAACCTCATTTTCGAGCTCTGTAATGTCAAAACAGCTGAGCCGTGGTGTTAGCATGACGTCATATGTGTCATTCTCCCTAGTTTCCTGTAATACGATTCACTGCAAAATTGGCTGACCATAAAAAATTAGGACTTTCACAAGTACACTTTCTCATCAATGTTTTGAAACAATCTAAAATTTGGAACTTCATGTGCATTCAAAGATAGTGTTCCCTGAGGAGGCACTCTTCTATATTTAATAAGAACTGCTTCGACCATGTCTAAATGTAAGTAAGAACATTATCGCCATGTTTAGCTTCTGGCTTTGTGATCAGACCACTAATGTTAACATGCAATATACTTTCCTTTCATTTGCTTGCCCTTCTTTGAAACTAGCTTTGTATGAAAAAAAGTTGAACTGGTAGGGGTGGAGAAAATGTTATGCAAGTTTGTAGGCACAGATCAGTAAATATGTTTGTGTTATGCAACATTTCAGCTATTTATTTTTTCCTTTGCATAAAAGGTGGATTCCTTTACCTTGAACAGGTGTTTTCACGCTCTCCAGATAGGTGCGCGCGCAGAGAGCTGGGTAGTACTGTGCTAAAGTATGCGTCAGTAATACAATTGCTGGGATATCCGCTGCTATGGGACAGGATTTGGCGTGTGTTCATGAGAGTTCTTGGGCCATGCTTGAGATAACAACGGAAAGAGAAATAAAAGTTGCTGGTAAATAACAAGTATTTGAATATGTAATTCTAATTTCAAAGCTAATTAACCTATATATATATTCAGAAACTGAAGTGAAGTTTTCGGAAATGATCGGATTTTGATCTTTTATATTTCTATAAAGGCTTGGGAAAAAAAATCTTTACCCAAATCTCACTTAGGATGCTTCTTTTTAGTGTTTGGTGAAGGTAAAGCGACAAAAGAAAATATGTCAACTTTTTAGTTTATTTGACCTTTAAGGTATCATCCAGGGTAAAAAATCATTAATCTTCTTCTTCTTTTTTCTTTTTTAAATGACAAAGCTATTGCAATAAGGTGTAAATAAAAGTTAAACATCCATCTTACGTTCTTTAACCCTAGCTGAGTCTAGTGAGTTATACGAGCCCGGGATATACGTTAGCCTTGTTATTCCTACTCTTCTTATTGGAACCGTGAGAGGTGGAACAGGGACACCAACTGCAAAAGAATCTTTGAAGATGACGGGTTGTTTTGGAAAGGTAGGAATCTGACCTTGCAAGTAACAAAAGAACCTTTTGAAGGTTTAAAATCTCTAATGGGCAATTAAGGTATCATCCACCCTCAAGCACCCTCCTCGCGTTGATCGGCGCTAGCGCTTTTGCTTTTAACAAATACCCGCATAAACCGTACATTTTCTGAAAGCTTAATAGTTCTAGATTATTGCTTATTTCTTTTAAAAAATCAAAATATTAACGCGATTTAGAAATGAGAAGCTTTTTGTGAAAGTTGGTGTCACTGTAAATTTAAGTCCAGTCCAGCCAAAAAATAACGGAAGAAGCCAATTAAGAACGCGTTCGCTTCTTAACACGTTTGACTAAAAAACCGTGTCTCAGATTTTGTCAAGTGCGCTTGTTCTGTTGTTATAAGCAGGTGAAGTTAGGGATAGCAGATCATTAGCACTACCTGTGAAAAAATACTCTAACTGGAAAACGAAAAAAGAAATCAAAATTCGCAGGCACGGTTTTTTAGAAAAACTATCTGATAGTAAGTTGGCCAAATTTCAGCCAAATTGGTTCACGAGTTGCCCACTTTGAATTTAAAACGTACCCTCAACTTGCACTGATTTTCATTTCGAGAAAACAGTGGAAAAAGATTTTTGGCGGATGAGATTATAACAGATTATAACACCAAAGCTGTCAATTTTGATGTATACCAGGGAAGGGACAACAATGGTGACATATCAGGAAAAGTTGAAAACGAAACCCGACAACAGATGAACAATTTATTTCACAGGCTCTGCTCTGTTCGATCCTCTCTGTTGTCGAGAAAGCTTCATTAGTTATTTGCAACGGGCAGTTTTCATTTTCGCACCAGACAAGCCAAGTTGAGCCAAGCCAACTTTTACTTGATACATTTTTTAAAAGTTGGACAGTTCCCTGGAAAAATCGACAACAAAGCGCTTCCTGGAGTTTTTCTTGAAGCTTCTTTCTGTAGTAGGAAACTTGGGGGAACAGTAATCCTCTACAATGAACTCAAACTTTTTGTCTCTTTAAACTTGTTTTAATGTAGATAACTCGTTGCTCAACTTTTCACAATCAAGGCTAGCAGTATCTCTCTGACAAGACCTAGTTACAGCTCCTTTTATCCTGACTGAATCTGAAGGCTGCCAATATCACTCAAACTTAAAATAATCTTACATCAGTAAAAATTCGATTGGCTATAAGAATTATTAACATATTTTCCTTCGAGGTTGTGTCGTAATAGGAAAATCAGTAAGTTACAAGCTGGAAGACTGTGATAACCGAAGAAAATGGGTTGAACAGGTCACCAGAAAATCTTTATCAAATGTTGGTCAGTGGCTGGATCCACAGGGTACCCATGGGAGTCATTCCACTGAACGTTTGGCGGGAAATATAGAAAACCTCATTGGATTAGCTAAAATTCCTTTGGGTGTTATTGGCCCGCTTCTCATTAAGGGTGATCGTGTAAATAAACATATTCTATGCCCTTTTACAACTACAGAAGGTACACTTGTTGCATCTTCCACCAGAGGAGCTACAGCAATGACCAGGTAATTTTAACCGTATAATTATAAAGCAAAGCTCTCGCTCAGCAGAACAGCAGGGTAAGAAATAAAAATTGGTTATCAACATGATTGCATGCAATAAATTTTGGTTCTGACAAAATCGTCCGTTTGTACGTTCGCCCCTCATGTTAGCGGATGTGAAATGTCTTGTAGGGCGGCCATTTTCTTCAGCTCAAATTTGCAAAAAATTGAAATGATTACAATTTTGACAAAAAGTGATCAAATATCTATTAAATAAATTTACTTTTCAGGGGGGTAGGAGTTTCCTCCTGAAAGTTGAAAGTTTACACCTATTTCTATCGCGACCTAGTGCAATGATCTACAATGTCGATTATTTTTGAATAATTATGTACCAGTTGAGTGTTGGTATTGGACACAGTTTGAGCATGTTATGGGAACTTTGAGTAAAACGGGTGTATAATTCCGTTATTCTAGGTGCGGAGGAGTCAGTGCACGAGTGATTCAGCAACGAATCATGAGAACACCGCATTTTGTTAAGGACTCCATCCATCAGGCACAGACGTTGTCATCCTGGTTAATTTCCCACTTTGAAGAACTTAAGTTAAGAGCCAGTGAAGTTAGCCAACATTGCAAACTTCAAGCGCTGGAACCTTGGTTTGTTGGTCCGTTTCTTCTCTCTTTTTTTTTGTTTGATACTAGACTCTTAACCGCTCAAAAAATTGAGAAAAGCTATAACCTCAATGAATGTACAAGTTAAAGAAAGTAAAAATGCTTGATAAACTCCTTTATTTGCCTGTGATCCCTTCTTCCCTCCCTTTTTCCTCTTATTACTTTCTAGGTCGCAATCTGCTGATGGAATTCGTTTACGATTCTGCTGATGCCACTGGACAAAATGGTGTAACTGTAACCACCTGGCACGCATGTCAGTGGGCTCTGAAACAGATCGCCAAGGAGCAACCGGATATCAACAAAAGGGAGTTTTACATTGAATCTAAGTGTAGTGGCGATAAAGGTGCACTAGCAAAGAATTACATTAAAGGTCGTGGAATTGAAGTTCAAGCCGAAGCTTATATTACAGTATCTGTCCTGCAAAATGTCTTAAAGGTACCTTGCACAATGTAACATCCTTGCTTTATTGTAAGTTTCCTTTTTTTGCAATCCCTGATCGAGGACACGATCAGTTGTTACAGTTTTCTTTTTCTTTTTGTCGTAGTTTATGTATTTGATAAATATTCTTCAAACTAGCATTCGAAATCCCTCGAATCCTTTTTTACCCGTTCTTGACATAAATATTAGTCAGCAATTCGGGTATTGGCTTCACAAAGTTTTCTAATCTTCCAACCTCATTTTCGAGCTCTGTAATGTCAAAACAGCTGAGCCGTGGTGTTAGCATGACGTCATATGTGTCATTCTCCCTAGTTTCCTGTAATACGATTCACTGCAAAATTGGCTGACCATAAAAAATTAGGACTTTCACAAGTACACTTTCTCATCAATGTTTTGAAACAATCTAAAATTTGGAACTTCATGTGCATTCAAAGATAGTGTTCCCTGAGGAGGCACTCTTCTATATTTAATAAGAACTGCTTCGACCATGTCTAAATGTAAGTAAGAACATTATCGCCATGTTTAGCTTCTGGCTTTGTGATCAGACCACTAATGTTAACATGCAATATACTTTCCTTTCATTTGCTTGCCCTTCTTTGAAACTAGCTTTGTATGAAAAAAAGTTGAACTGGTAGGGGTGGAGAAAATGTTATGCAAGTTTGTAGGCACAGATCAGTAAATATGTTTGTGTTATGCAACATTTCAGCTATTTATTTTTTCCTTTGCATAAAAGGTGGATTCCTTTACCTTGAACAGGTGTTTTCACGCTCTCCAGATAGGTGCGCGCGCAGAGAGCTGGGTAGTACTGTGCTAAAGTATGCGTCAGTAATACAATTGCTGGGATATCCGCTGCTATGGGACAGGATTTGGCGTGTGTTCATGAGAGTTCTTGGGCCATGCTTGAGATAACAACGGAAAGAGAAATAAAAGTTGCTGGTAAATAACAAGTATTTGAATATGTAATTCTAATTTCAAAGCTAATTAACCTATATATATATTCAGAAACTGAAGTGAAGTTTTCGGAAATGATCGGATTTTGATCTTTTATATTTCTATAAAGGCTTGGGAAAAAAAATCTTTACCCAAATCTCACTTAGGATGCTTCTTTTTAGTGTTTGGTGAAGGTAAAGCGACAAAAGAAAATATGTCAACTTTTTAGTTTATTTGACCTTTAAGGTATCATCCAGGGTAAAAAATCATTAATCTTCTTCTTCTTTTTTCTTTTTTAAATGACAAAGCTATTGCAATAAGGTGTAAATAAAAGTTAAACATCCATCTTACGTTCTTTAACCCTAGCTGAGTCTAGTGAGTTATACGAGCCCGGGATATACGTTAGCCTTGTTATTCCTACTCTTCTTATTGGAACCGTGAGAGGTGGAACAGGGACACCAACTGCAAAAGAATCTTTGAAGATGACGGGTTGTTTTGGAAAGGTAGGAATCTGACCTTGCAAGTAACAAAAGAACCTTTTGAAGGTTTAAAATCTCTAATGGGCAATTAAGGTATCATCCACCCTCAAGCACCCTCCTCGCGTTGATCGGCGCTAGCGCTTTTGCTTTTAACAAATACCCGCATAAACCGTACATTTTCTGAAAGCTTAATAGTTCTAGATTATTGCTTATTTCTTTTAAAAAATCAAAATATTAACGCGATTTAGAAATGAGAAGCTTTTTGTGAAAGTTGGTGTCACTGTAAATTTAAGTCCAGTCCAGCCAAAAAATAACGGAAGAAGCCAATTAAGAACGCGTTCGCTTCTTAACACGTTT